TGAGGAAGTGATTTTGTTGCACCTGATACGGAGTGTTTATCCTTGCAACCTCCATATATTAAATGTTGTGTTTAATAGTGGAATATATTGTTGTACGAATGCTGTTGTTGTTTTGTGGGTGGACATGAATATGACTTTTTCTGTTCTGTTTGTTGCAATTCTGGATGTGAAAAAGTTTTCGCAGGGGAAACAAATACAGGAAGGATAGGGTATTGTTGTGTCAATCGAGAAAAAAGAGGGGGAAAACTCTCTAAAGTGTTAATTAATAAAAATATATAATTAAAAGAATATAGTGAGCCAGCTGAGTGGCATAGTTGGTTTGACGCTGACCTTGAACGATCAAGTTTGCGGGTTCATCCCAGGCTCAAGTCGGTTGATTTTCATGATGCGAAAAATCGACAGCGTCCATGTCGTATGATTATGCGGCGTGTAAAAATTCCATTGAGTGCCTGTTGGGCTTGGGTGCTCTCAGCAAAATTAAATTCCTAGAACGGTTTTGTATCATCAGAGCTCAGATGCTTTTCCCTGGGGAGGAAACGAGGCTTCAAAATTACTTACAGTGATTGGTTTTCCACCTATAGGATGCCACTCTAAAAGAAGAAATACCAGCTCCCGGGTAATGTACTAAATCTACAACGGAAAAATACCAATACCAGCCTCATTTGAAATAATAATAATAATAAAAGAATATAGTGTTACAGTAGAAAAAAAAAACTCCTCACACGTATATTATGTTTCTATTCCTTTATTGTAACTTAAGGCTCGTAAAAGTTTCGCTGGAAAAGAGAATAACATTCAGTGGTGCACAAAGACCTCTAATAGAGGAAAAAGGGGGGAGGGGTACATTCTAAGAAACAAGCAGACGAAATCGCCGAGGGATAAAAAAATGTGGTAAAAATGGTTGCTATGGTAAAAATTAAAAATTTGTTTGTCTATAAGGGGGGACCCCAAAAAGCCTAACCCTTGTGTACGTCACTGATAACACCAGCTCTATATACATGTATGTAAGAATGCGTTTAACTCAACAGTCTTAGTTCCTAGTGAGTGAGTGAGGCGTCGCACTAAAAACAGCACGAGAACAATTGGAGACGGACCTCGTAATTTTGATCTACGGCAACTCACTGAACTCACATCCCTCTTTCCTGACTTCTCCACCACGCCAAAGGGAGAACTTTAAGCCATGACAGATTTAACGTGCATCAGCTCCTCTACACCGTGCGTCTTCAGTTGCATTAAAACTCCAACTCATGACACGTCGGTCACATTATGACCACTAGGCTACCTCGGCTATCATAGTTTCAAGGTTTAAGGGTTTGCTAATGCATTACTGTGGTCATTCAGCTATGACCTAAACCAGGGGTGGCGAACCTTTATGAATCAACGTGCCATTTTTTCTAAAGAAGTGTTTAATGAGGTATGGACGTGCCGTCAAATAATTTAGACTTGTGGTTATTGGAAAAATAACATAAAACTATACATTAACAACTCAAAACTCTTTATTTACTACGAAAAAATACTTTTTGCACTGTAGCTGTAAATTTTTTAGTTATGTGTGTAATTCAAATTAAAAAGTAACATTAATATAACTTCTGTTGTTGCGGATTGTGTGGATGACAAATAACTTATATTACGATTATAGAATGTTACTTTTAGTAGAATGCATTCTGAATTTGAGTCATTTGCCAAATGATTTTTAAGCAATTAATTATTTTTGCTGTGGTGCACTTTTTGACAAGAGGATTTGTGATTTGTCTTAAAATGCTGTTCTACAAACGATGCTCTGCATGCCACAGTTCTAAAACATGAAACACGTACCACTTTGTCGCCTCTACTAATTATGCCATATTTCCGGATTCACCCTTTGAAATTTTCTGTTAAACTTACTCTCTTGCACTTTTTGTTCTTTTGCTGAACTAGCCGTGTTAAATAACAGTTAAAAATCCTAAATATAACAGATATAAACTTTAAAATATAGTTGTGTCGACAAAATTGACTATCCTATGTGTAAACAAATGTTGCATCGTACGCAACTGTAGTCCAAGACGCAACTAAGGCAGTTGCTAAGAAGCAATAACGAACGAGTGTGCTCTCCACCTCCCCGCGACTGATCACTCGCGTTTGTTCGTAATATTTCAGTGCGAATTTTGTGATTTTGAAGTAAAATGCAAACCATTTTCATCTCTGGGATACCCAAAATATTGTGTCGCGTGCCACTGGTTCGCCATCCCTGACCTATACTGTCATGTTGTTAAACTTCTACATCTTCTTTGGCTTTAAGTTAGATTTATAGCAATTCAATATACGATTAATTACACACATACATTTCTTTTAACTTTGTAATAATTATTTCATTTAAAAAAAATCACAGTACATCAATTGAAAATCACTGCTTCAAAGTTCTTGTTCAAAAATGTTCATTTTTTTAAAAATATATAAATGCAGTGGCGCACACAAGGGAGATGTCCTATGGGTCCGGACACCCCCATAGCCTTTGATTTTATTTTCGATTGGTTAGAATCCTACATATAAATTACGTAAAATTTAATTATGTATTTGTTATTAATAATTAATTTTATTTATTAATGCTAATTATTTATTCAATAATTATTTTTTTTTGTTCCTGAAAATCGAGAAAATCAAAAGAATATGTTGGGCGGTGTATTGGAGCATGATACCGAAATGGTGGATTTTCGACCCTGGAAAATCCACCCTCCCATGAAAAATTTCTGTGTGCGCTACTGTACACATGTATTAATGTTTCTGTATTTTTTGCTGCTAATTATACGAGATAATATTTAATGCAGTTATATTTTTCTTCCTAAAAAATATTTAAAGCAGTGCTTCTCAAAGTCTCAATATTTGCAATCTAATATTCAATCATAATTTTCATCGCGCTTCTCTCCATACTATATATAATAATGAATTGAATTCAATAATACTGTTCTTTGATACTAAAACTACAAAACAACTTTAACCTCTAAAGAACCACCGGCGTGTATAAACATTTCGCTCGGCCAAAGCATTAATTGACCCGGTCGTATATATACGTCTTTTTCTAAGTACAATCTTCTCTGTGTACTGCTATCCATAAAATTGTTCAGAGGACTTTGGAATGTAATAAAAGGACCTTAACAGTGCTTGCGAAGGATTTACTTATTTCAAAGGATTTGCTTATTTATTCCTTTTCTCTCCCCCTCCCCCATCAATGCATTCCATACGCCGCTCGCCTACGTGGCACTGGAGAGCGAATCGCGTAACTTTTAACCGTCAGTGAAGGGATTAATTATAAACCCTTCAAATTATCAAGATATATGTTAAGTTTTGTATATAATTTTATTTACGATAACCCGATGAAGTCGCTGGTAATTATAAAACTTGTTCCTTATCTTAATATTGTTAAATTCATTATAAAAATATTGTGCACATTACTGATACACTTATTAGTTATTAGCAGTAGTGCACACAGGAATTTTTCAAGGGGGGGTCGGGGTCGAAAGTTCACCATTCTTGTATCATGCTCCTTTTGATTTTATCAATTTTCGGGAACAAAACACAGTAAAAAACTAATTATTGAATAAATAATTAGCATTAATTAATAAAATTAATCATTAATAACAAATACTTAATTAAATTTTACGTACTATGTACTTAGAATTATAATCAATCGGAAAAAAATCAAGGGCTTTGGCGCCACTGGTTATTAGTGTATTATATTCAGTGTAAATGCGTATTTTTTTTTCAATATGTCGGAATGTATTTTGTTTGTTTACTTCTGTAAACTAATAAATTTTTTTAAAAATAATCATTTGTTTCCTACTGTTCAATATGCTTGTGCCCCCCATAGTTTGAGAAACGCTGGTTTAGAGTTTACATCATGTATTCTTTAATGGTAAGCGAAGAAAACTTAAAATGAACAGTAAGCAAATGCACTGGGGGTATTTCCGCAAAAGAAGTAAAAAATTTAAAAAAAGTAATGCTCGATCTGAGAAAAATTCCTCTTTGCGAAAAATTCCACACCGACTTTCAGAGAAAACGGAAGTGTTTTTATAGTTGGAATGTGCTATTTTATCTACTTTGCTCCGGGTGAATTGACTGAATAAGGCATTTTTTATATTGAAGCATGTGGATTACCGTTACAAAATATTTCGATCCCAACGGAACACAAAAGCCTTCAGAGGGGGAAGGAAAGAGGAATCTAGATGACAAAGTAACAGGTATTGTGTGACTAGCATCACCCTTCTAAGTTTTCCTTTAAAAATTTCTCTGAATAAAAAAAAATCGTCTTATGAATGCTATGGAAAAGACAGCGCAATTGATTCACGTGGGACTAACTAGTGAAATAGAAAGCTGTTTTCTAAACTTTTCTCTCTTTTGATTTTCATTTCAATATAAATTGTGAATTTCCCTCCCTTTTTGTGCACATTCTTTTCCTAGCGGAAGTCTGTGTGATTTCCAAGGAATATTGTAATGCAAAAAAATATTTTCTCCGAGAGAAATTTACATGAGATTCTATATTTCATGGTATAAAATAAAAAATTTTTTTTACTTCATGAAAAGATTTTTTTTCACCTCTTTTTTTTTAAAAAAAATAGTTGATTTAAATATTTTAACTGTATTATTATTTTAAAACATACCTACATCTTACAATCTCGTAAATAAGTATTTTGGAATATGTATTTTACAAAATAACAGTTAACAATCATGTAACACGTAATTTTTTCTCACAATTCCTATTATTATATATATATAGTTCACACTCTCCATATAAATATTTATTTATATATCTTGTCCAAATTTTCAATCGTTAATAAAATATGTATACTTTCTATTCATCCACTCAAGTTCAAATATATATTTTTTAAACTTGTAGTGGATGACACTTGTTGTTAATGCAGTTTATTCAAATATTAATTCATTAATTATATTTAATTAACGAATAAATAGTAACAAGCAAAAATAATAGTCCAACACCATATATAGAAAGAAAAATCGTTCATTGTGTCCCTGTAGCGCAATGGATAGCGCGTAGGACTTCGAATCCAAAGGCCGTGGGTTCGAATCCCAACTGGAATGGCCTAATTTCTGAGAATGCGTTTTCTTTTTACTGTATTACTACTGTACTATTTTCTTTTACTGTTTTGTTTCATTGGAATAATTAAATTTAATTAATGGTAACAAACAAAAATAATAGTCCAACACCCTATACTGAAAGGAAAACGGAAAATAGCTTTCTAATTTACCACTTAATATTGTGATTCTGTCATACGAATATACATATTTATATTAATTGTAATTATGTGATAAAAAGTTACTAAAAAAAATTTTCGTTGTTGATCTAAGTAGGAATTGACTTGAATTTTTTTTTTAATGTATTACACACTTGTTTTAATTATAAAGTAGTTTCATTTATCTTTCTACATAAAGCGACTCACTCACTCAGTCATCACAATATTTCTGTGACTATTAGACCAAAAGACTTGAAATTCAGTAGGCGCGTTTCTCTCATGGAGTAGAGATTCGGTAAGGAAGAGTTTTACGAAAATCGATCCCCAAGGGGCGTTGCTAAGGCTTAAGGGGTGTCAGAGATAAATATTCCCACTTTTGAGCTATTAGACCTACAAACTTGAAATTCGGAAGGCACGTTCATTTTAAGAATTAAAAGTCCACCACAAAAAGGGTTTTGCGAAAATTGAATCCTAAGGGGCATTACAGATAACCTAAGGCCGTGGGTAGCCTAGTGGCTAGAGCATCGGACTCCAGACCGGAAGGCCTGGGTTCGATGCCCGATGCCACCAAATACCCTCCGAGTATACACGGAGTACGTGCTCGTTACATCAGTGGGTCTGAAAGTCTTGTGGGCTGAATCCCGAGTGCACAGGGGACTGGAGAACATTTCCCTCCCATTCAGTTCTATGTCTAAGTTGTGGAGGTGGAGATAGGTCGCGTCACCATCTATCGTCCCTTAGGGGAATTTCGCCGAGTTAATTCGTACTGTTACCTGTATGGTGGCCAAGGCCAACGAGAAGGCGTACTTCTAGCCCCTTGCCACGATGAATTTCGTGGGCATCGGTCAGACTACGTCAGACAGGTGGCATTAGCCACAACAACAGATACTTGAAATTTGGCATGCATGTTTACTTTGTCGAACAGAAATCCTCTAAAAATGGGTTTCGCGCAAATCCACTTTAGGGGAGGGAGTTACGGGAGCGTAAAAGATTATTCTACTTCAGCATTAGAAATTCGATTCCTGTTCTTTTTTAAATCAAGAGATGACAGTTATAAGAATGTTTGTCAATACATTCGAACAGGTTAACTTTATACATATATATATTCATCAAACATCATGATATACCCAGCGAAACGGGTAGGTAACGGCGAGTTAGTTTGTAAGCCATTAACTATAGCAAAGAAAGAATAAAAAAAATTGTATGGCGAATGAATTCTTTCCAGTTTTAAGTGAAAAATAAAAAAAAAATATTCTTATTATTATTATTACTCATTAATAAGTAAAGATTATTTGATGGGGAGAATCAGTATTATTATATAAAAAACTTTTTTTCTTCTTCGCTTTTGATAGTGTGGCTGCGGTAACCTAGAGGTAATGGTTACGAACTCGACATCGGCGTGTCATGGGTTTGATCCTTAGTGCCACACTGAAGACCCACCGTGTAAAGGGGCTGATGTATGTTAAATATGTAGAGGCTCAATTTCCTCCCGTTGGTGTGGTGTGAAAGTTAGGAGTGGGAGGTGCCGGCTCAGGTGTCGTCCTCGTCTCTTAATCATGGTTCAAAATTATGAAGTCGATTGTTACAAGCCCTTTTGTTATTTTATTATGCGACATAAATAATAAGTTTTTAAAGGTTTAATAACAATAATAATGAAAATATCATAATTCTGCAGATTGTATAGTTATGCTAAGAAAGTTAAGGTTCTCTTCTTTGATGTCAAAAGGATTCATTCAAATTTGGAATATTTTCTTGAACAGAGAATTATACTTCAGCAGTCCAGGGCAAAGTTAACTTGTGGAGCCTTGAAACAAATTTCACATGATTAACTGAACATTTAAGGCTGTCTTCGGTAAAAGTACGAGAGCTCTAACTAAACGCGAAGCACATTTTCAGACGGAAAACTGACCCAACTTCCATGGAAATTTGCAACGTTATAATTCGTACCTCTGTTAACAATAGATTGTCTTTAAAAATTTCAAAATATTCCGAGAATATTTTCCTTTTTTGTCTTAATACGTGAAGGCAAAGACCATTTAACATTACAGTATAGGATAAAAAATGCGAAACACATTTTATACCAGAAAAAAATGAATCAACTCGGTTAAAAATGGGAAGTATGGTATAAAATGCTGCTATCTAAAGGATAGTGAAGCCAGAATATCATATTAATTTTTTATTTCTTTTATATCTGAAAAAATGTTCCAAATTCGGGTCCTATTCTTTAACATTAATCGAAAACAGCCTTATCGAAATTTGCAATTTATCACATTGAGTAAATCGGAATAATAAGAAGTAGGTGTAAATGGCAAATAGTTGAATTATTTAAATAAAATGGACTTTACAGTTACTCAAAAAATAATTAATAAATTGAATAACAAAATAATTTTTCATGCAGTTATAAAAAGCAACTGGTACGTGACCAACTAAAATTAGGTTAAAATGTTGGATTTCTGCTTCATTTTCTTAAAAGTTTCATAACATATTCGTTGATAGTAGAATAACAATTTAGTTTTTCAACTTATTTTTCGGATTCTACAGTCAGAAGAGCTGAAGTAAATCACTCCTGCTAATATTTCAGGTGTTTATTTATTTATTTTTATCTTCTGTGATAAAAAAGTTCTGTATGCATATTCAAATAAAAGTCAACGGAAATAAATGCATTTTGATTTTGCAAAATCTGTCTGTAGCACAGAACTTTTTACGTTCTCCACCATTTGCAACTTTTTCGCGTGCTGGCTCTGGAAAACTGATGCTTACAAAAATGATAAATAGCAAAGCGATGTTATTTTTTCTGCATTCTACCAAAAGTATCTCGTGTGTTTAAAGTATTGTTATATTCTAATGGGAAATAAAATTAATTCGCATAATAATGGATAAATTGGGTATGTGTGTGACATATCGCTTTTATCAATAAATGAAAAAAAAATTTTTTTTTCAATTATATTGTTAAAACCAGGGCTTCGAACCCTAATTTTTGTTTTCCTTTTTTCGTTCCGTTTCAACTAAAAAAAATATACTGGTTCAGTTCCGGTTTTCGTTCCACCAAAAATAACGGTTTTTGGTTCAGTTCCGAATGAATAATTTTATTTTATGTATATTCTTACTAGTACTAAAAATAAAATTTTATCATAAACAAAAAAAAAGTGTGTAATTCTATCAAAATTTAGAAGATTTTATTTTTTTTTGTTAAATTGGTACACTATGAATCAGCATGAGCGATACGAGAGATGAGCAGAGAACGGCGAGCATTGGCATTGTTATCTATTATCAAAATCGCCTTTGACAACTAAGTTCATGTGATTCTAGTTTTTCTGTCTAAGCAGCCTATACAAACAACCGTGGATGATCGCAAGCTGAGATGCGAAAAATATAACTCAGATTGATATTTTTCTTAAAAGATCATCTGTACTTCTGGTTCATTCAACTGAATTAAATTTGCCTTCTACAATTAGTTTCGTGCAGTGGCGTATCTAGGTACAACTGGCGTAGCTGGTATTGAGTGTGGGCCCCGTATCAAAATTCCTTGGAGGCCCTTTTTTGGAGGGCTCTCAACAGTTTACGGTTTATTCTTGCACATTTTGGGGTCCCTGAAGCTTGGGGGCCCCGTATCATCGATACGGCTGATAAGGTGGTAGCTACGCCCCTGCTAGGTACCCAAAAGCCCTGGTGCAGCAACAACAACAAAAAACCAGGGCCCTATCTTGATCGGGTTTTATCAAGTAAAAAAGAAAAATACATTAGTATTTTAAATATCCAAAGCTACTTTAACATCAGCCTTTTATTTTACTCCGTAGAACATAGGAAAGCAAAACTACATACTACTTATATGTATGTGTATGAGTTTTCTTGTGTGAAAACTTTAGTGATTTCCCAGGTTCTATTTGACACGTGACAGGCAGGAAATGATCCAAAAAATATGCATGAACAAGAAAATATAACACAACATTATTATAATTATTTAAAAAAAAACCCCACCCCTACTGTGGAAAAGGCTAAATTGACCCCTTGAAAGGCTAAAATTTCATCAGTCTATTGCAGATACTAGATTGTGAAACAGGAAAATAGCTTATTATGAATCATATTATTATAAAAAGTAAAATGGCTGTGAAGAAATGACTTCCTGTGTCGATTTTTAAGATGTAGTGTAAGATTTTACATGGAACTTGAAGTTTATTTTCAAGTAACAAGAAAAAAAATTGAAAAATAATACAAACTTTTCAATAAGTAAAGTTCACAACACTATACAAACAAAGGAAATAATTTAAGGTTTCCTAATAGTTCGAAATTACTTAAATGAGTTGCCCTGATTACAGTTATGTTGCAACCTTTTATATTTATATCTTAAATATGGGACAAATTATAGTAAGTTCGGCTTGTTTGGTGATCAGGGTCCAAGCCCCCCCTGAGCTTGAGGGCCCCAGTGCATGGCACCGCCTAGCCCATTGGTAGCTACGCCACTGATTTCATGCGAAACTGAAACAGAAAAATGCTAGTGAGTATCAAAACAGTAAATAAGCAATGTACATATATTGATGATAATTATATGGTTGACTTTAAATACGAAAATGTCGATAAGTTGGCTACAGTAACAAAATGACGCAAGATATTTCGAACAGAAATAAATCGATATTTTTTTTTCGGTTCAGTTCCGGTTTTCTTTCCAACCAAAATAATGGTTTTTTTCCTGTTTTTGGTTCAGTTCCGGTTCGAAGCCCTGGCTAAAAGTTTATTCAAACCAATCATAAAAATACGAGTGTAACACTTATTATATGTAAAACTTATGTTTCTGAAATACTTACATTTATGAATTACAACTTTTATGTTACTAATAGAAAATTTGAATTT